GTAGTTCTTCTCGGGCTGGTAGGCAGTGTCGAGGCTGGAGAGCCATGCGATCTTGCCGCCAACATCGAGATGGTCCTTGGCGGTAGCAGCCATTGTGTCTAGATGTATAGGTATGTGTTTGGACGGGTGATGAAGAGAGTTAAGAGGAAAAGTCGATCACCGTAGGATGGAAGAGGTATGTAGCAGAGGAGAAGTGTGCTACTTAAAGATGGTCGAGGCGAAAGGGAGGAGTGGAAGAAGAGGAGGAGGGGTCTAATGCGGTTGTTAAATCCTGCTGGGAGTGGGGGTGGGCAGACACGCAGAGAGAGAAGACACAGAGAGGGAGAGGTCAAGGCAAGGTCAGGCAAGGTACGTAAGGCCAAGGGGAGAGATAACTAATAAAAAAAATACGATAAAAAAAGGTCATACAAATCGACGAGGTTGACGAGTGAGACTCTTGTTTTCTGGGGGGTGGTCAAGCCAATGCAGGATTTATGCACAGGATGATGTATTTGAGCATCAATCAGCCTCAGCCAGGTATTTGTTCAAGACCACCTCAAGACGGGACGGGGAGAGAGACTCAGACAAGAGAGGCAGGCACACGAGGGGCAAGGACGAGAAACAATTTGCTCCTGACCCAAACAACCCAAGTGAACCTAAGGTAGGTAGGCGTGAAGCTGCCCGGCGGCGCACTCCCCGTCTTCTGCTTGCTGCTTTCGCTGTGGCCTGCGTCGGCGGTGGTGTCGGCGCCTTTTTTTTTCTCCCTCTTTTTTTTTTTTTTTCTTCTTCTCTCTCTCTCAGTCTGTCAGGGTGGCCGCCGCTTTGCCCCTCGTTGAACTTGTTCCCTGCACCGGCCGGCACCACCCCCGTTTGGTGAGGTGAGGGGGAGAAAGGTGCTGAGAAGGTGCTGAGGAGCGTAGCTGCCCCTCAATCCAACGGAGTGGTCTGTGCATTTTTGGTCCGTGGCCGGATGGCAGGAGGGGGGGCACCCAAGCACCCAAGCACCCACGCACCTTCCCCCCCCCAAAGCCCCCCCAATCCCTGCCAGAATTGGAAATGGAAGCAATGGAACTGAGGTGGGCAAGTGCAGCTTTGGCAGTAGCGTTTGGGGCCCCCACCAATGTGAGGAGCTTGCGGTGACAGGTACCCTGCCATACGGATACACCTACCTTGCCTGCCTTACCTAAGCTCAGGCCTCAGGGTCCCGGGCTTCGCACTAGCCTGGCACCTCCCACTTTCATCCATCTTTTTTTTTTGGCCATCTCATCCCGTCCAATGTTGAGCCACGGCAACCAAGAAGAAGAGACGACGGAAGAAAATACCTAAGGAGAGGCTTGACCAGGACCTCCCAATTGAAGCATTGCATGGTTTCCTGCTTCCTCTCCTGCTCACCTCACTTTTTTCCACCTCACTCTGGCGTGCTCATCCACCAACTGGAAACGCTTGGCCAATGAAGCAACAAGCCCACGGGCCGAACAAGGTTCACGCAAATAGCACATAGCAAAACGGCCCGGGATATGGTGAGGCGCCCCAAGGTAGGGTGATGCGAGGTGAGGTGAGCGGGAGCCTAGTGAGGTGAGTGAGGTCCGGAGGTCAGGCCAGCCCAGAAAAACAGCGTGGTTTCACCAGACGGTAAACAAGAAAATAAATAGATGCCAACTGGAAACCACAACAGAAACATCCAAGGGGCCATCAACGCAACGCAATGCAATGATACGACGGCAGTGATCCACTCACCGAGTATCCGTACCGTGTACGGATACGTCGTGCTATTTATTCTCCAACGCTCGAGCCTATCGAGCTGGGCAGTATACACAATGAAAAGTAACAGCAACTGCAATGCCGACGTGAATAGGAAGAGAACGTGAGAGCGCAAGAGGGTTGAATGATGCAAGGACCTGGAGTGATGGCCGGATAAAATGGGTGACAATGAGGCATTTCAGTCGCTTCCATTGAATCCAGCAACATCCAACGACATATCTGGCTCTGGTCTCGGCCATTTTCTCGTTTTATTTTGCTTCACCATCTCCCGCTACCTTTCGTACCCATCATGCGCTTGCATCTGTCTGACAGTCTGTTGCACACTGGCGCGGATTCCATTCTGCGACGGAGCTCCGGCCAACCTCCCTTGGGCTGAGTCGAGTCTGAGGTGAGTTGAGCTGCCCGATTTTTAAAGCCTCAAACACTCAACAAACTAGAAGCCCATGCCGCGGCAGGCGGCGGTGACGGCGGTAGCGGATCACACACTTCCTTTGGCTCTTTTGGTTTTGGCTCCGGGTCTGAGCTTCCACCTCAGCTTCCAACTTAGCTTCCTTTGCCAAAAGGCAAACCAGCCCGATCGCCCGACCCCTCCAGGAAATGGAAAATGGAACGCATCCATGTCACCTCGAAAAACGGCAAAGAGCCCCTCCGTGGAAATATGCCCCTCCATCCGCTGGAGAATGGGCAAGGACTGTGAATGCATCCATCCTTGGAGACTGGAATGAATGGAAAGGCCGCTGGGTTTCTTTCCAGAGACTCCAGGCCAGACTATCGGAGTGGAGAGGTCCCCTGGCCCACTTGCACCTTGGCAGTGCCTCGCACCTCTCATGAAAATGGCAAATGGCGACAATGCATTTGTCCATGACTCTGTCAGCTCCGGGCAGCTCCAACCTCTCAACACCGGCGTCCGGCCAATGACCATCTCACCATCTCAAGGATAGGTGGACCACCGCCGGCGCACTGTCGGACAATTCCACTTGTGCCGCGGAGGAGCACAAGTCCAGACGTCTATCTGAGCTCCGGCTAATCCGCATTGTTGGTGACGCGATTCAAATCGTCTCGATGGTTCGGGTCCGAGTCGAGCTTCTTGCTTCTATTTCCCTCATCACATCGCAGGGGTTGTGCTACAAGAGTGACACCCGCAAACTCATGTTGCCATGAAGAGCCCCATGAGAGAGACGGAATGAAGATACTCAAAAACCTCAGGTAAGGCGCCCTCAGGCTTGAGGCTCCCTCAATGAAGGTAAGACGGATAGTGGTCAGCAAGCCATACCATACCATCGTTGCTTCTCCACTTGGAGCCACGCGAAGATGAGCTTAATCGACCTTGCACATTCAAGACTTTTGATTCCCACTGAAGATACGACACTCGACGATGCTCCTCAGAAAAAGGTCCCTTAGGGTAGATAAGATAAGACATGCACCTAAGGTAAGGTAGGCCTCTTATCTTATCGGGGCTGGAGGCTTCAAGCCTGAGGCACCCAAGGCGCTCATCCAGGTGTGCACAGTCCACTTCGACAGCACAGCCAGTCAGCCGGGGGAGGGATCATACTCCAATTGCTCCAGTGTGCCTGCCACCGCCAGGCGAGCCTTGTCTCATGACCAACAACCTTCGAACTCCAGCCTTTGACATTTGAGAGAACGCTGCAACAACCACGAGACGACGACGACAACGACGATAAGAAACAATCGAACAGAGGAACATCATCGATTGTAGGAAAAGCGACAAAAGAAAGAGAATCAGACAAACCTTTTCAACAACTTGCACCAAAATGGTTGGTCCAGCCTTTCCCCCCCGTCGGGCTGCTGGCGAGTGCTTCTGGCTCGCCTCGCTGCCTACACTAGCTTGGAGATTTGCTCGCGCAGTCTTAACACCTCCCTAGCTCCTCAACTTGCTGACTCTGGGCCTCTGGTCAAAGATTGGACGTTTGACTCATTACGCATTCGATGCGGTGCTCTGTAAGTGCCCTCCCCAGCCACTTTTCTTCAGTCGTCCTGCTGTTGAATGAATGCCTTCGTGTCGATCGGTTCGCTAATGCTCGGATCGTCTATAGTCTCCGCCTTCCTCGCGGGTATGCAGCGCTCGACCGGCCTGACGTGAGTGAACTTTCCCAATATTCCGATGAGAATACTGGATCTCTGCCCTCGACGACACAAAGACAAGACGCTGCAGCGGCTAACATGTGCCCAATCTGGGAATCGTCAGACCCAGTTTCAAGACGGACAGAGCTGCCGGCGAAAACAAAGACATGACGAAGTGGATTGAGAAGTATCTCGGTGTCGGCGAGTGGGTGATGGATCAGTCGGTCGCTATTGCCGGCTCCAGCGGTTGGTTTGAACGCAGGCGATAGGTCGAAACATCGAGACACCACCAGTATTGCCATTTTCCAACGAAACCCGGCCGCCTGTCTTCATAACGATTCGGACTCGAACCTCACCATTTTCATTCCTCTACAGCCCAATTATTAGGCCATGGTTGTTGTCGCAGTACGATGCTGGAAACGCTTTGCGACTGCTCGGAAGAAATCGGTATGGGGAGGTTCGGTTCCCGGGCGGTGTAAATCCAAGGGGTATCGGCGGATCTTGAACCGGGTGTTCTCGTGGGCTGAAATCGCTGATTGTCGGAATCACGAAAAAGCAGACTCGTGTCTCTGCGTGCAGGCGTTATGGGCGAAATCAGGGCGCATTTTCTCTAGCTGTACCTTGGGGAACAGGAAACCGAGCCTTCACCGGCGAGCTCTTGGTTTTATTATTGCGAAAAGTCCCCCTTTGGGCACCGGGCTACCCCGTGTAAATCCTTACCACCGGACCTGTGGACCCCACTTTCGGGATCGTCCTCGTCGCGGGACAGCGGCCATAGCCGAGGTTACCGTCCAAAATCCAATGCGCCACAGTCTGCCACTGCAGCTCCATTCGTGCGCCATAGCTCCCTTGCCTAACGACTGCTTGCCCCATGATGTGAGACTGTAAATGCGGGTGGCATTATGGAGAGAGAGGGAGACAAAAAGTCAATTTGTGGGTGACTACAAACAAACTGCTCCATACAACCAACGCCGGCTTGAATTATGGTCTGCGGGGTATTCTGTCCTGCCTGCTGTACTCAGCCTTACCAGCGCAATCCGATGCATAGTTCATATCCAAAAAAGTGCAAAACGCATACATTGGAAGATGCATGCTTCAGTGGCACCTGCTTTGATAGCACCTGCAGCTACTGAGGAACTTTACAAACGCTACGCTTACAAGGTCAAGGCACCTTCATATCAGTCTATGCCCTCATCGTTACTGTGTTCGGCAAGGAACTCTGGAGGAACCTCATTGTCGCTGTCGCGCCTCGAAGACGAAGTTCTTATGGATCCGACATGGGAACGGTCATCGTCATGCTCTTCCAGATGTGACACTAGCAGGTCGGGCGGGACCTCATTGTCACTCTCTCCGTGATGGGCTTCTGTCGTAGCTGTAGCCGAATCCGTTTGCGGGGTTTGCTCCTCTTGGTCATCGCCGTTGTGCCAAGGTTCTTCAATGTCGTCAACTTTCGCCGCCGCTGCTTGAAGCTTTGGTAGACTTCTGCGAAGGAGAGCCTCGGCATCTCTGAACGCTTCGAGTTCAGCGCCAACGGCGCAGATGAGAAGATTCCAAGTGTTCTGTTGGGCCGTCCTCATATTTGCTTCAAGCTCCAAGATGACCTTGGCCATGTGTGGCAACAGAGCCTCGACGCCTTCTTGTTGTGCACGTGGAGTCTGTTTGCCCTTGGCTGGGGAAGGACCGCCGCTTAGAGACTGGCGCAGGTCCGCCTCGAATGTCGTAACAAGTTTGACTGTTTCCTGCCACAACTCCGTGCCTTGATCTAGCGCATCGCGGTCCTTATCGACCTGCGCCTTTCGTTTCTGTAGAAAGTCCATTTCACTTTCCCACCAGTCCTTGGCCATGCTCAGTGTCCGTCGCGCAGGTATCATGCGGAAGAACTCAGCACCGCCAGGCAGCTCTTGGATGTCGGTTCCGGCTCCAGAGTCGTTCCGTGATACAGCTTCGACAACGTCGAGATCCAGAGGTTCAATTGGAGGCCGGCGTAGCAGGGCTGTGACCTCGCCTTCGACCTCCCTCAATGCACCCCTGTAGCCACTCAAGCCAGCCTCTCGGCGGTTGTGAACGTCTTCCATCTTTCGCTCGAGCCATCGGTGGCGATTCCTCATACCAACGAGCTTCTCCTCGAGCTCGCGGATCTCCTGGCCCAATGTATCATGCTGCTCTCCCAGGCTTCGCAGCTCTTTTGCGAGAGGCTCCTCATCGTCATCAGCCAAGCTATGCAACTCGGCAGAGATGCTGACCCTGCGCTTGTCCAACTTGTGTAGATACAATAGGGCTTTTCTTCGTTGAGAGAGGGCCGACTCGATGTACGCATTTTCTTCCGTCTTGAGACCAGTCAGGGCTGCCAACGCCTGTCGCAGTCCGCTTCGCGCGGCACGAAGGCCCTGCTGCCCCTGTACCTTGGGTTGTCGAACAGGTATGATATCGCCACGAGGAGTCGCGCGTACGGGGGGGTCTAACGAGGCCATCATGCGTGACTTTGACGTCGCTGTGGAATAGAACGTTCCCGTCGGCGTACTACTCCCAGAATCGCTCCACGTCTCAGCCCCCACAGTGCTAGCATCGAGAGACTCGGCGCCGGATCCAAGTCTTGTGGCTTGTATGTCTAGTAATCGCTGTACTTCTCTGTGGAGAGCTCGTTCTCGATGTTGTAGATTCCGCCAGACAGAGTCAACGCGGGACTTGCTTGAGTCGCGCGAGCTATGGTCGAACAGAATGCTCCCAAACGCGAGCCGGCTGGACGACATGCCCTTGGGCTCGTTCTTGTGTATATTCCCTCGAGATTCTCGCCTCCCCGACGAGGAGGAGGGCTGCAACACCACCGAGGCAGCTATAGGCGGTGGCGGACCGATGAACATGGCCTTGGGCTTCAACTTGGAGACAGAGCCCGCCGGGCCAAAAGGGTCGTCGTCCCATAGATCTACAGGAGAAGGTGAGCGTCCTTTCGACATCTTCATGGGCAACGGTGGCGACTCTGACAGCAGCGATACATCGGGTCTGGGGGACAGATCATCGAGGTCGTAGTCGTCTGAAGGCTTCGGTCGGGACGTGTAGAGTGGTAGAATGGGAGATTTTTGTCGGCTCGGTGAGAGTCGGTCAAGAAAACTTGGCGAACCGGATGCCATCAGGTCGTATCTGACGTTGCTGGGCAGAAGTGGAAGAATTGGCGATGGCGCGGTCAGCAGGAATGTCGTGGTTAACAGGGCTCCTGAGCGTGCTTCTCAGAGGCACGATCAAGTAGGTATGAGCTCTAGCTAGAGAGAATAGGATATCAATAATAAGAACCAGCAGACATTGTTGATGAATATTGGGCGTGGGATACGGCAAGATGCTATGGGAAATGTATGAGATCTATGAGATAGAGTATAGCAAGGTCGGCGATGGGAGCGCGAGGCTACCTCAGCTGTAAAGGTACAAGATAAAAAGTATCTTTGGCACGGGAAGCAAGAGCTCACGAGCTCTGAGCATGTGCCACAGGCGCCGGTGCGAGACAGACGTCACACGGCAGGTCTTTTATCATCTGTAGCAGTAGCACCAAAAGGTGAGGTAATTACCTTACCTTGGGCACCTCTTACATTATGTAAGCATGCGCCTGGCAATTCGATTATCGATAAGCATGTATCTGGGAATGCGCCATTGGACGATGCCCTTGCGGTTGGACGCTGGAACATGATTCTTACAACATACGGATAGGTAGGTTGCCTGTTGTCCATATAGCTCACCAAACCAAAGAAGAACAAGAGGTACCTTAGGTATGAGGTCCATTCAGTGCGGTCGAGAGATTTCGTGCTTATTAGGTCTGTCTGTGTCTCTCTTGTACCGAGTGAGACATACTTTGATACGTAGAGCTTCTCTTTGGAGCTGGTCTCCATGTGCTGCTTCATCATGGGATTGAGGATCGTTTGGCTTCCCAGACAGAATACGGCACTTTACGCGTCTCCTCGTCTTCCTACTGTTGCTAAGCGTCTACTAGTACGGATTGCGCAGGCCAGAGCCGCGGTGACGGGCAATCTAGCGTGATGGACGCTTTCTTCCAAAGTTTCAATCAATTAATAAAATGAGCCGCTTGCCTTGGCTCTCTTTTCCTTACTGCCCTCATCCCCGGCAGTGTCTGTATCCGCGTCTCCATGTCTCCGTTGTCCGTCTATGCCCAACGCCCAGGTCCATGTCCATGTCCAATTCAGTCGGCAGGGCCCATCAATGATGAACGAGTCGGACGTTCATTAGTCAGAGAGATGCCGCCGTAAACTCGAGTGGTTTTTCTGCCGGGTCGACAAAGCAAATGATGGGTTGCTAGACGGATGAGAAGCTGAGCATACCGCCGTTGGACAAGTTCACCTCTCACTCTCACCAAGTCATCAGATCAGACAAGACTGCGAATGCCGAGGACGTGGACACGCCGCACTGCCACCATCAGCCCCTGTCCTGCTGCCGTATGTGCGTCGTCTTCTCTTCTCCCTCGTCCCTTGTGTGTCTACTTCCCTGATCGTCCGTCGTTGTCGTCGTGGCCATTCTTTTTCATCATTTTTGTGTTGTTGGTTTCTTATTTTTTATTCCCGTTCGTCCCGCGTCCCATCCACCCCACGCGCGCACAGTATTTGAGCCGTACAAGGGGAATCCAACCCAAGAAAACATGATGCACTTTCTGGGCCATCGGCGAACAGCCTCGCAGCAGAGCATCGACCCCGAGACACAACAGCAGCCACAGCAACAATGGCGTCCGCACCACCAGCATCGCCTAAGCGCATCTTCGGCTCTTTGGCAAGCGGCCCAGGCCTTGGGGTCCATTGGAGCCCCGGCCGCTGCCGCTGCCGCTGCCGCCGCCAGCACTTCCCCTCCAGCTTCCGGCAGTCCTCCTTCTTCTACCTTTGAGTCTGGAGGCGTTGCTTCGTCAGCGTCAGCGGCAGCGGCAACGGCACCTTCAGCCTCCAATGCGACTGCCAATGCCAATGTCAATGTCAATTTGAATGCCCATCCAACTGCAGGTACAACCGCCGGTACTAGTAGCAGTGGTACCACGGCTGGCCACACCCGTCCACCGCTGCCCAACCCGGTACCTTCCTACTCGTCGTCGGTGTACTCCCAGCAGTCGCAACAATCGCAATATTCGCCGTATTCTCTGCAACAGCAACAACAACAACAACAACGACAGTCTGGCTACTTCCAGCCCAACCACCACTCACATCCTTCAGGTGGTCCTCCGCACGCCGGGCTCGGCATCGGGCTCGCTTCTCCCTCCACTATTTCCTCTCTTCAATACACCCCGGAAGCCTTGAAATCAACCTCAACCTCGACACCACCGGCGTCAACGTCCGCATCCACAACAGCAGCAGCAGCCGCCGCCGCTGGTGCGCCTGGGCCATTAGTGCCCAAAGATCCCCCCGCCGTCCCCAACTTCCACTGGGACAGCGACTATTACCAGAACACGAACAATAGGAACAACACCACCACCACCACCACCACCACCACCAACAGCGCCGCGGCCATTCGTGCGCCCACCACAGCGACCGACTCCGCTTCCGCCCGCGCCCTCCAGCCTCATCAATCCTCCCATTCACGCTCTCAGTCTCATTCTCATTCTTACTCTCACTCTCATTCTCAATCTCATTCTCATTCTCACTCCCATTCGTATTCCCACTCCTACTCTCAGTCTAACCCCTACTCTCCCGCTTCTTCCTCTCACCCGCCTTCCTCTTCCTCCAACATCCCTCCTTCCTCCCATTCCCACTCCCACTCCCAGTCCTACTCCCAGCACAACCAGCAGCGTGCCTCCATCCCCGCCGCTCTGCTTCCGGCCCATGGCCAGCAGCTGCACCGAGACTCTCCCAACTCGCTGCCTACCCACTCCACTGCGACTGAGACATCAGGGCCGCCGGGCCTTTCCCCCTCCGTCACACTGCTGCACGCGCCAACGCCATCCTCCTCCTCCTCGCCATCTTCTTCCTTTGCTCTCGCAGCCATGAACCAGCAACAGCAGCAGCAGCAGCAGCAGTCGCCGCAGCAGTCGCAACCCCAGTTCCAAACTGGCACCCCGCGACGCACTGGCACCTACAGCTCCCAGCAAGACGAATTGCACATGCCAGCGGGCATGATCCAGCACGGCCAGCCTTCACCCCGCGAATACTCATCATCCTCTACTGCCCCCGCCGCACCCCATATCAAGCTGGAGCAGTCCTCTCCAAACACCCACCCCCACGCGCCTCCTTACCAGAGCACATCGTCGGTGCCCAACGTCTTGCAACCAGGTGGTGCAGGTGGTCGACCTCCCGCCATCTCTGCCAACACCGCTCCCAACATGTCTGCCATGCAGCCTCAGCAGCAGCAGCAAGACTATCAGACACCTTCCAAGCCTCCCAGCTTGAGCCTGTCTCACAGCTACTCGCGCTCCTCGCCTGCTGCCGGATACGAAGGTGGCTCGTCCTTTGCGCCCTACACGCCCACCACCCCCAGCGGCTCAGGATCTCAATTCATGTCTCCGCCAGACCAAAAGTACAATGCGCCCGGCTCCCAGCGAAACATCTCGAACACGCCCTTGGGCTTGGCCGATATTCGACCCCGCGCCGACTCGAGCATGTCCGATGGCGTGCCCGGTAGCGCTGCATATGAGCTTGCCAATGCCCAGCCTGGAACCAGCAACTACCTCGCTCCTTGGGCCCTGTATGCTTTCGACTGGTGCAAGTGGCCTCCCCAGGGCAACGGCGCTGGCAAGCTTGCCGTTGGCAGCTATCTAGAAGATGGACACAACTACGTAAGATTTCCCCCGCAATGCTATTGGCAGCTGGGTGTGGCTAACACTATCGTTTCCCTCTAGATCCAAATCCTCGATACCCAAATGGTCCCGACGCCCAACGATGTCTACCAGCCGGGCACCCCTAAAATTAACCTCGAATTCCAAAAAGTCGCCGAGGCTACACATTCCTACCCTGTGACGCGCTTGCTCTGGGAACCGCCCTCCTCGCAGAAGCAGTCTACTGACCTGCTTGCGACGTCGGGAGACCACCTTCGCCTATGGTCTCTTCCCTCCGAAAGCCCTGTCTCCCAGAACAATTCCATTACCAATCGAGCCAGAGACCCCGCCGTTACGAAACTCACGCCTCTCGCGCTTCTGTCCAACTCGAAGACCCCGGATCATACTGCACCGCTTACTTCGCTAGACTGGAATACTGTTTCACCCAGCTTGATAATCACATCCAGTATCGATACCACCTGCACGATTTGGGATATTCCGTCGCTGACGGCCAAGACACAATTGATTGCCCACGATAAGGAGGTTTACGATGTCCGCTTCTGCGCCAACAGTGTTGACGTATTCGTGAGCTGCGGACAGGACGGTAGCGTCCGCATGTTCGATTTGCGCAGTCTGGAGCACAGCACCATCATCTACGAGCCCACTGGAAAAGATGAACGAGGTAACCCCCATCCCCAGAACCATTCTCTGCAAGCTCGGTGACGCTGATTAAATATGACAGATGCCAATGGAGGACGAATCAGCCCTACGCTCGCGCAGCAGACCATGTCGAACCCTCCGCCCTTGTTGAGACTAGCAACTTCTCCCCACGATACCCATCTGCTAGCCACATTTGCGCAAGACTCGAACGTCATTCGTATCCTTGATGTAAGACATCCTGGACAGGCTCTTCTCGAACTCAGGGGCCACGGAGGCTCCCTGAACTCCATTGAGTGGTCGCCTACGAGACGTGGCGTTCTGGCTTCGGGAGCCGACGACTGCCAGGTGCTGCTATGGGATGTGTACAACAACAACCCTGCTCTTGGTGGTGGTCCTCCAGCCAACGGTGCCGCCCAGTCAGACAACACGAGAAGCCCGTACGCTAGCTGGCAATGCGACTACGAAGTCGGCAACCTTGCTTGGGTGCCTCATCTTTCTAGCGACCAGGGAGAGTGGCTGGGAGTCAGCGCCGGCAGGGGCCTGTGGGGTGTTAAGACATGTGGACGAACCGGCGCCTGAAAGGGATCAAGGGCGACGAGCAGCAACTAATCCGACCGCCTTGCTGCGCTGTTCATAGATCTGGCTGGTCACTCATGATATATGCATCGCAAAGCCTGGCGTTTGGGGATCGGCTCTTGAGCCGGCTGTAGGGAAGGGCATACTGTCTGTGAAGTATGTTTCAAATGAATTCACTTGGAATAGGCAGTCATTGGGGGTGAGTTGGTTTCAATGCACCACAGGACTCAGTCAGTATGGCCCCCCTCTGGTCGATGGTCAGGAACAAAAGTTTGGGACAGTGGATGGCTATATACCGGCGGGCACAGTCGAACGGGGAAGACGGAAGGAAATGTTATAATAGTGTGCGGTGTTTGTCCCGCACCAATGTGGCCGTTCCCAGTGTCCTCAATACATGTACCTATTTTAGGTAACTTGAAAACACAGCCTTTCGCTCAAAGAGTCTATTGCTGTGAATTAGAGCTTTGTCAAAGGCAGACCGCCACTGTCATTATCCAAAGTGATAACTGCTTTGCCCCAAATTTTGCGGCTTGCCATGTCTTTGAGAGCCCTGGATACATGTTCAAGACCAGCATACTCAGCGTGATAGATGACAGGCCGGATTTTATCAGTGTCCATCAAGGGTTTCAGCTGGTCCCAGATGGCCTTTTCCTCTTCAGGATACCGTCGCAAGCTCTCGCCGTATCGCTATGGGGCATTCGTTAGCTACCCTACTTCGAGTGGGTGGTGGTTGTGGAATCTCCAATACTTACATAACCGATCAGAGACACCTGCTTAAGTAGGACTCTATTCATGGCGATTTTCTCCATATCGCCCTTGATACCAGCGAACCCTACAATCAGTATCTTGCCTCTGTGAGCAATGCACTTTAAGCTTTGGTCCACGAGGCCGACGGGATCAAAAACGACGTCGACACCCTTCCCATCGGTTAGCTCCAGCACACGATCCCACCACGCCGCGTCCTCGGAGTAGTTGATGCAAATATCAGCCCCCGAACGTCGAGCCACGTCGCACTTCTCGGATGAGCCCGCTGTCCCTATCACCCGGCATCCCACGGCCGCGGCAACTTGAAGGGCCATCAGACCGAGCCCACCGGCAGCGGCGTGGACCAAGACGGTCTGGCCGGTTTTAATACCAGCCTGGATGAGCGCTGCGTAGGAGACGGGGAGCGTGGCGGCTAGTCCGGCGGCTTGGGCGAATGTCCATTGCGGAGGGATGCGATGGAGGGGCGTTGAGCCGTCGAGGGAGATGATCTCGCTGTAGGAGCCTGTGCTGCCTCCGAATACTCTGTCGCCGGGACGGAATTCGGAGGTAGGCGGGGATGAGAGGATGATGCCGGCAAACTCGAGGCCTAGTGTGAAAGGCGGCCGTACCAGGGATCGGTTGTTTTGGTGTTTTCCCCTAGCCTATATGCGAAATATCAGTCATCCAACTCATCTTGGGGAGAGGACTTGTTATGACTTGTCTTGGACTTACATAGAGGGTATCGACAAAGTTCACCCCAGCAGCCTTGACTCGGATGAGGTAGCGGTCTGCTGTGGAGATCGGCCGGTCACTATCGGAGACCTTTATTTCATCAAAGTCCTTGAGGACGAATTAGGGCTATGTTTGTGAAGCTGAAGCAAAGTTTTAGGAGACTGGGACTCACATTGATGAATTTGTCGATAACAACAGCCTTTATCGTTTGTCTCGAGCTTCCGACCATTTTCAGCTTAAATTTGACTTGATACTTTTTGCGTAAAGAAGATAGAAAGTGCCCAGATGTAGGGGCTAGTTCCTATTCTTTATGGATGGAAGATGTTCATTTAGGGCTGTTGTTTCTGATGAATTGGAGAAGCACTAGGTGCCGAGGCTTCTATCGGCTCTGATGGATCAAGTCGGGCATTTGGAGTGTGCCATATTTACGCAAAACTTCAATGTAGAAAAATACTTAGGCGCGACTGGTCTGATGAGTTTGAAAATTCATGATAGGTGAGGTACTCAATCGCACCATCATATCTTCATCAGAACTCATCGTGACCTCATGTTTGCTACTCTTTCTATCACTCCTGCACCTCAATATCCATTCACGATTACTTGCTAGATTTAGACTGATGATTGAGGTGGATTGAAATTAGAATTACCTTGTCAGTGGTCTCATCAATTCAGGAAATGCATCCTATTAAAAATACTCACATAGCTGCCAACACAGCTTCTTCTCCTCCAACTCAGTGGAGCCAGGACGGGATGCAGTGGAATTTAATCGGAGATGGGATGCAGTGGAGGGATGACAGGAGCTGCGAGGAAGGTAGGCCGGATCCACTGCAGAGCACCTACCCTACAGGCTACCTACCTTACCACCTATCGATTTGCCTCAGGTGTCAGTCTGGAACGACCACGCTAGTCCCCTTTCAGACAGAGATGTCCTTCGCGTTATTCGCCCGTCTTTAGTCGTTGCCTTTGCTTGTGCTGAGCTTTCTATCCTCCCGTTGCCTTTTCCTCTACCTTCACCTTCACCTCAATCCCACCCTTCGACCCGGCAGCAAAATCCTTTGGCCTTTTCCTCCATCTACCTGCTTGATTGATTCGCCGGAGAAAAGGTCGCTGCCTGCCATCAGGCGAACCAGTTGGAAGGGCCATTGTTTCCTTCCCTTGGTACGGATACTCTGCTTCTTTTGCAGATTCACCTCGGAAAGGATCTCGCATCAGCAACATCACGGAAAACCTACAAACCTGAAACTCTCGAAGTGTCGTTTCGTTTTTTCCCACCATGTCTTCCAACCGCTATGACGACTCCGAGGAGGAGGATGACTTCAACCCTGCGCCCGCCGACTTGTCCGACGAGGAACCCGACCAACCAGCCAGCGACAACCATGCTCGAGAAAGCAGCCCTGCTGACGACGCACCTGCTCCCTCTAAATCGAGAGTAATCGACGACGACGACGAAGAAGACGAAGATGATGCGGGCCAACACGACGACGACGATGAAGAAGAGGATGAGGACGACGAGGACGAAGACGATGTTCAACAGGTAAGCCTGTCGCTGCCCGCGCCGTCCGCCTTATTACACAAAGCTACACTGGGAAGACGCTAGGCAAATCTTTGCCCTCATCGCTTCCCCCGACATAGCCTCCTCTTTCTCTCAGCGTGAACTTTTCTAATAAGTGATCAATAGGGACATCGTCGCAAGCGCAGAAAGGATCGCCGAGCCGCCTTCTTCGATATCGAGGCCGAAGTCGACGACGAAGAGGATGGAGAGGATGAGGAGAAAGACGGCGAGGAGATTGAAGACTTCATCGACAATGCCCATCCCGACGACATTGCTGAGAGCGGAGGCCTCGATGATGACAGACGTCACAGAGAGTTAGACCGTCGGCGCGAGATGGAGGCGAGTATGGACGCTGAAAAGCAAGCCGAAATCCTTCGACAGCGTTACGGCAACCGCCGCCCGAACAAGGGCTTTGGAGACTCGGCCGTCGTTCCTAAGCGCCTGCTGATGCCTAGTGTCGATGATCCTACCATCTGGGCTGTCAGATGTAAGGAGGGCAAGGAGCGGGAGGTGGTCTTCTCCATCATGAAGCGTATCGAAGAGAGACTTGGGACTAAGGACGAACTGGCCATTATTTCTGCTTTTGAGCGCGGTGGCCCGACCTCCGTCATGAAAGGCTACATCTATGTCGAAGCCAATCGCTCCACCGATATCATGGTTGCTCTCGACGGCATGTTCAACGTCTACCCGCGATCCAAGATGATTCTCGTCGATATCAAGGATATGCCCGACCTGCTTCGTGTTACCAAGACCCCCACCCTGGAGCCCGGCGCGTGGGTGAGACTCCGCAAGCCTGCCAAACACGCTGGCGATCTTGCTCAGGTCATCGACGTCACTGAGAACGGCCTCGAGGCCAGAGTTCGGTTCATCCCTCGTCTCGACTATGGAATGAGAGACGATGCGCTATCGGCGGTGACTGCCGACGGCAAAAGAAAGCGACCTGTCGGTGTAGCGGGCCCGCGCCCACCTCAGCGCCTCTTCAACGAGACCGAAGCTCGCAAGCGGCATCCGAGACATATCCAGGGTAATCCCACCACCAAGGTGTGGAATTACATGGGCGACGAGTTCGAGAACGGCTTTCAAGTCAAGGATATCAAGATCCAGCAACTGGTGGTTACGGACGTCAACCCGACCCTGGAGGAGGTCACCAGGTTTGCCTCCGGTGCTGAGGACGGCACCGAGAATCTCGACCTGAAGGCTTTGGCATCGAGCTTGAAGGACAGCAACATCAATGTCACCTACCTGCCTGGGGACATTATCGAAGTCTACGAGGGCGAGCAGAAGGGCGTGGTTGGCAAGGCCACCAACGTCCAAGGTGACATTGTTACCATGCAAGTCACAGAAGGAGTATTAGCCGGACAAATTATTGAGGTGCCGACCAAAGGTCTGAGAAAGCGTTTCAGGATTGGAGATCACGTCAAGGTTACTAGCGGCAGTAGATTCCGCGATGAAGTTGGTATGGTCGTCAAGATCTCAGAAGACCGAGTTACTTTCTTGACCGATCAAACCAACACCGAAGTCACCGTCTTCAGCAAAGATTTGCGGGAAGCTAGCGACATCGGAGGACAGGGCTCGCTGGGTCAGTACGAGCTGTTTGACCTCGTCCAGCTAGACCCCACGACAGTTGGCTGTATTGTCAAGGTTGACCGTGAGTCGGTGATGGTTCTCGACCAGAATGGAGACACCCGGCAAGTCATGCCTTCGCAGATCGCCAACAAACTGCCGAAGAGGAAGATCGCCGTGGCCGCCGATAGAAACGGCTCCGAAATCAGACTCGACGATGTGGTCAGGGAGTATGGCGGTCAGCAACGCCAGGGCAAGATTATCCACATCCACCGTGCCTACCTCTTCCTTCACAACACCGACAGTAATGAGAACGCTGGCGTTTTTGTGACCAAGGCTGGAAACGTCAACACAATTGCGGCCAAGGGTGGGCGTGTGCTTTCAGCCGGTCCCAACCTAGATCAGATGAATC